GCAGAGTAACTAACCGCCTTCCCTAGATATCAAACCTCCTGTTTCCCTCTTTTTCTTTGTACAAGATGAGGAGTTAAATTTTAGGACATTCAAACGTTTAAGAAAGTGAAATGACAACAAAAAATTTCATAACTTTCATTTTATTTCATTTCTTAATCAGGATGTAATACTTAAGTATCACCAAACAGACATAGATTGATGATTTAGAACATAGCATTATAACATTTGTAAATTCATTGGAATCAATACTGTTTTACAGTAACTGCCATCAAATAACTATGCTCACCATAAGCTTCATTGAAAAGGTGTTAATTGGGTATGTGCAGTGTGCAAAATACTGTTGTAGGTCTTTTGCAAATGGGTGAACTGTGGTTGGGGTGCGGGCTTTCACAGTCAACTGAGGGTTTTAGCTCTAGCTATTAGTGTAATCCCTTAAACAATCAAACAATCAATGTGCGTTGCAGCTAATTTGCAGCTGTCCACTACTGTCCTAATAGTTGTGGGAAAGGTATCTGGCAGATGTGCACAGAATACACAGTATGTGTAGAGGGATATAATGTTACTTTCACTTTATGCTTGAGACCAGTGCAAATAAATTATTTGAAAGACCATGGTCATTTAGAGTATGGGGCGAGAGGCATTTAAAAGTGTGTTGTATGAGTAAATTATACGTAATTAATAGCTGATGATTGTTGAGTATTAAATGAAAGCAAGCATTCAATAAAAAAGAGCGCTGAAAGTACTGTTTAATATGATTGCAGGGACACGGCTCGGAAATATTCTTGACATGAGCAAAGAAGTCTATGGAGTCATTTATTCACCTGCAAGAATAGGTGAGTTGGCCTAACAAGTAACAAACACTGGTCCAATTTGTCTCTGTACAGACTCTATGAGAAGCTTCCTTTGGTGTGCATCAAAGGCAGTTTCTCATATAGTTTTTATGGTGCGTGATTTGGTTCTTCCCTGGTGATTTCAATCCTTCCCCGTCAAAATCCAGGCTTGATATTTGTACTCATTTAAAGTGTCTTTTAAAAAATCTTGACAATTTGGAAAATAGCTGGAATTGGTGTGCTCTGTCAAAATAACATGGTGCTGACCCATTACAGCAGAGTTTTTAGATATTACGCCTCAGGGTTGGCAATCCTCATTTAGTTTCTAGAGACCACCTCTGCAAACTCAAGTTTCTGCGG